CAGGAAGATCCAGTTTTCCACTATAGAGCTGTCTCCCAAAGCCAGAATTTCATAAAACGCCACCATCACTGTGCGAGCCGTAAGCTCCAATATCAATGCAAGTGAAAGTATAATTCGCATCACACACCGCCAGCAGAACAATGGAATAGTTCCCTTTATAATTATAAAAAAGGGAACCTGAGTTTGATGGGCAAAATATCTTTATGTGCTTGCCATCAATTGCACCAATACAATTGGGTAAATTCCACATGGAATTAAAATCGATAGCGATACGCTTCCACTCATCCTTCTTAGGAATCGACAAATAAATTGGCCCAAGTATCTCCCACAAGGCATCGCACGTTTCTGCCACTATTTCCTTCATTGTGGAAAGTCCAATTTTAAAGGAAGAAGCATAAAACTGTTTACTTCCTCCGTGAGCCAAATAACTATAATTTAGAATATTTAAATATACATATTCATGATATATGAATAACTTACCAGAGGGTCAAGTAAAGTCGACATTCTGGAGAAATGGATGGCCTATTAGAATTGTTTCTAGTGATCCTTTCCTTAATAAAATTAAGAAGCATTTCAAAAATGTGCTTTTCCATCCTTATATTTTTCTTAAATTCCTCCCTGAATCCAAAATTCGTGGCGAAAAATCCGTGAGTGTCCCGATTCTGTAGGGGAGGTCGCACCCACCATCTACGGCCTCCATAAAGCCTGTTGAAGCATTCTCTGGCTTCCAGCAACATGAGCAATATTAAAATAACTTGAATTACTTCCATTTTTTTTATCTTCTTCACAAATATTAGCCCAACTAAAAATATAGACTTATTTTGTATTCAAAGAAAAATTTGCCGCCAGTACAAAACAGCTGACTTGTTTACATGTGACAACGCTTTCATTGTGGAGTACCTATGCGTTTCGTACGCCTTGTCAGTTGAATGCTTCGTCGGAACGCACGTAACGTGCTCTATCTGGCAGGGCTATTAAAACTGCATATCGTCAGTTGGTGTCGAACACTCATGCGGTGAGGATGTGATCGCGCTTTTATTGATTTTATTGCCGTCAACAAGCATTTTCTTAAAAACGCCAGCACAACCTCACTTACCGATCATTTAACGCCAACTGAATGCTCTCGCTGTTTTCGCAAAATGTAGTTGTGTGCGTGACAGTGTTGCCAGGACTTAAAAAATAAAAAAGTTAGATCGGACAAATAAAAAAGCTAAATGGCCCAGAATAAAAGGTTAAAAAAAGGCCAGCCTTTCAACATTTCATTAGCTCTTATGTACAACGAGGTGGTACAAATGCACCACCGAGCAACAAAAAAGTAAATATTTTGACAATCAAAGTACTTACGATCATGGAATTTAATAAAAGTTGTTTAATAAAACCATTTTAATAATAAAGCGGACTTTTTTTAGTGTCTGAAAACCCATAGTCCTTAAAGACAAAGTAGTGGTATATTTGTACCACCAAATAGCTTCATACATTACAATACGATTACAATCGCGAATGTTTCAATTACAGCGCGCATAGTGAAGAGCAAACCCTATATACACGCAAATGAAGCAGACTAAACGGCGAAGTCGATTTCTATTTGACAAACTGTTTGACTACAAACTTCGCAACATATCTGGCGAGAGTTTCACGCCTGAGTCACCCGCAATAGCAGAGGCGATGAAGGGGCTAAGGAGCCCTGAATGGCTACGGCATAGCAGCGGCGACTAACTACCTGGTTTAATAGGGACACTTGAGAGCCACTGAAAAAACGGTTAAAGTATAAACAGAACGAATCCGCTGAGTAAATTCTACATTCTACTACAAATATTGTGGAAGATTGTCCTTGCTAGTTTGAAAATAAGAAAAGGCTAGAGAAAAGCCACGAAGATACATAAATCCAAAATTTCGAAGCTAAACGACATAGAAAAAAGCTAGATCTAGCCTCAAAATTTCAACTGGCAACACTGGTGCGTGAGCCCATCGCTGACATACATTCACATCAGTGTTGATATTTAAAATTTTTAAATTGTAACAAATTAATGACAAAAAGGGTGCATTCCAAATCGTCAAAATACAAAGCATCAGTCTCTTTTATTTATAAACCTCTTCTAGTGCGGTTTAGAAATAAAAGGGACTGATGCTTTGTATTTTGA